TTTTATATTGGTATATCAGTAATTTAAATAGAAAGGAATAAAAATTTAGAGAGACAATTTGTTTTTTTGTTTAATTTTAAATGAAATTATTCGCGAAACTAACAACCAACCCTCGTTTGAAGCACCGATTATTCTTCCATTTTTCTTCTATCCTTTCTTTTCTTTTACTTTTTTTTTTTTTTTACATTGGAGTATCAGTAATTTAAATAGAAAGATATAAAAATTTAAAAAAACAATTTGTTTATATTTTTTGTTTTTAATTTTAAACGAAATTATTCGCGAAACTAACTACCCTCATTTGAAGCATCGATTTTTCTTCCATTTTTCTTCTATCCTTTCTTTTCTTTTACTTTTTTTTTTTTTTTACATTGGAGTATCAGTAATTTAAATAGAAAGATATGAAAATTTAAAAAAACAATTTGTTTATATTTTTTTTTTAATTTTAAATAAAATTATTCGCGAAACTAACAACCCTCAATTTAAGCATCGATTTTTCTTCCATTTTTCTTCTAACCTTTCTTTTCTTTTACTTTTTTTTTTACATTGGAGTATCAGTAATTTAAATAGAAAGATATAAAAATTTAAAAAAACAATTTGTTTATATTTTTTGTTTAATTTTAAACGAAATTATTCGCGAAACTAACAACCCTCATTTGAAGCATCGATTTTTCTTCCATTCTTTTTCTTTCTTTTTTTCTTTCTTTTTATAATTACGTTTAATAAATGAAAGCTTTAAAAATCGTTTTTATCGTAAAGACAAATAACAAATATTAGTTGACAATCGATAACGACATCGTCAATATATCGATCTTAACGATTTCTTAAACTCACATATCCCACAATACTTTATTTTTCTTTGGAAAATCGACAATAATCTTTGATTATATTAAATAAAATATCGGTAATATTCTTGACAATCAAATTTTTGACATATTACTTCTTTCTCCTTCTCCTTCTCAATGTGCATACGAAAATTTCAATTTAAAAACGAATATCAGATTTTGTTTTGTTCAAACAATTATTTGTTTAATTACGTTTCTTTAAAAAAAAAAAAAAAAAACCAAAATTGAGGAAGGGACGAAATGGTAAGAGGGAGGTAAAAAAAAAAAAAAAAAGATAAAAATAAAATAAAGAAAAAACTTTTGCATTGAAAGTTGTTCGATTGGTTTACATTTAAAAAACCAAAAAAGTATCATCCACCTCTTCTTGATTCGTTTAAAAAAAAAAACAAAAAACAAAAAATAAAATAATAATAATAAAATAAAGATAAAATTAGAAATATAATTCCAATTCATATCGTAGAAATGACATTTCTTATGAATATGCAACTAAATAAAATGGGTACGCATTGTTGACCAAGGTCCTCTCCTAACTATATAATACTAAATGTGTAAATTTTTATCAGCTTTAGTTTGATTACTGGTAAAAGACTGTTAGAATAATGGCTATATAAATTAAACGATAATACGGTTAGAAATTATTTAAATATGTTAATCGATTATTACGTCAATGAATAATTATAAAATTAGAATAATTATTTATATTAATTTAAGGACTTCTTTTTTTTACATTTATATTAATATAACACAATAATATTATTAAATGTTAAAATAGATATTCAATTGACTAATAATTATTTTATAAGAATTTTCTTATCAAATATCTCGTCATATTACTCAATTATTCTTCGAATTAAATATCATTTCGATACTATTTTTATTTCTTTTTTTTTTTGGAATTATTTTATAATTATATTCATTTCTAAATAACACATTATTTAATGAAATATTTCCAGTTAATTATAATTATAATTATAACAGTTAATTTTTCTTTTAAATTAATACTCGACGAATAAGAATATTTTTCATTTTCATCATCTCCATACTATTTTTATTTATTTTTTTTTAATAATTTTATAATTATATTCATTTATAAATATCATATATATCTAATTAAATATTTCGAATTAATAATAATAATAATTATAATAATTAATTTTTGTTTTAAAATGAATACTCGACGAATAAGAATGTTTTTCATTTTCAAATTTGTTTTCATGTTATACAAAAATTCATTTCCTAATCATAAGTTGAACTCCTTGATTTAAGTAGTAACACGTTTATTAGTCAGACGAGAGTTGAAAATATATGAAAATTGTGTTCAAAAGTCTTAAGTCCAAACCCAAGAAAGAGAGAGAGAGAGAAAAAGAAAAAGAGAAAGAGAGAAAGAGAGAGAAACTTTGCGCAAGTGTCGCGTCTGGAAATTCGAGGTAAAGACATTTCGTTCCAGGTTTATGCCCACGGGGCAAAAGTCTTTCATCGTTACCTTTTGTTCTCTCAATTTCTATTGGACGAGAACAAACGATTATTATTTCACCGTAACGCACACACACACACAAATACCAAACTCTAACAAAATTTCTCTTAAAAGGGAAGAAGATCCCTCTATAAACTTATTACTTACAAAATTAACAACCGTAACGTTATTCTTCATCACATGGAATACAACAAACGTGTATACCTTTTTCCTTTTTTTTTTTATTTCTTTTCAAGAAAAAAGAAGCAACATCCTAAAAGTATTTTCATAATGTTGATAAAATATAAGATAACAATTTCCAAATAGAAAATCTTTTGTTTTCAAAATGAATCCTAATAGAGAGAGAAAAAAAAACACACAGAAATACAAACTGATGTCACACATCTGTTTGCCACGTGGGGCTAAATCTTTCAATATTTCTTTTTCACATTTCTCTCTTTTTTTGTTCTCTTTTATTTCTCTCACGTTTTAGTATTTATTGATTCCTAAATTCTATCAATTAATGTTAGAAAATAAAAAAGCAATAAAATGAAGAAGAAGAAGAAGAAGAAGAAGATACAATACAATGAATGTGTCTTAAGAGTATTATAAGAGGGGTAAGGGAGAACAACAAGAAGAGACAAACGTGCAAAACGGCTTTCAGACGTGTCTCCATTTAGGGACTCACGAATTTCATAATTGTCGTGTCGTGTTGAAAGACGTGGTGTGTTATACCTGCTTGCTTGATGCCAGTGTGCTGCCAACCAGCCAGCCAGCAAGCCAGCTTGCTTGCTTGCTAGCCAGCTAGGTTGCTTGCTTACTTGCTTGCTAAGTTGTTTGCTTGCTTACTTGCTTGCTTGCTTGCTTGCTTGCTTGCCTGTTCAACTCCTACCTTCTCGTTAAGTTCCGGAGAGGTGAGGGAGAAAGGTTGTTGAGGCGGCACACAGCATACACAGAGAGTTACACACACAGTACACACAGATTGTGTAATATTTCTCGTTGAGTGAAGCCTCCTCCTCAGTTCAGCTCAGCTCAGCCCCCTCCTGAAGTCTCTCCTCTTCTTTTCTTTTACATCTTTTTTACATTTAATATTTCTCTTACGAATTTGTTTCATATTTTGTCTTACTCTCGATGAAATAAAATGTTTGTGTCAATGGTATAAAGGTAGCTACAATTTTTGTATTTCTTTCTTGATCTTGTTTTATCTTCTTGTTTCTTAACAAACACACACACACAATCTTGTTGAATGTTTCAATTAAATCAAGTCAATTAAATTATGATTTTTATCAGATTTGATCAATAGTATATTAGTTTGTTGATCAGGTGATCAAGACTTCTTGTCATTTGTTGTTTTTTTCTTCATGGGACATTTGGTATTTAGATGTGGGACCAGTGGAAATTTTCCTTTCGGTTTCTCGCTGCTTTTTTTTTCTTCTTCATCTTCATCGTCATCTTCTGTTAGACCAAACTGAAAAGAAACAAACAATTAGTTTTAATCCAATTAAAAAATAA